CAATTTAATGGCCATTTTTTTGAAAATAATTTGCGTTTTTTTTTCACATAAGAAAAGTGTTGTTGAAATGAGCAAGAATTGAATGAATGAATGAAACCGAAAAAACTACTACTAGCCCCATAGGAATCTTGACCATTTGAACCAACCAAAAGACTATCATCATCTGGATCATTATTATGACGACGACCATGATGATGATGATCATTAAAGTCCGGACATTGTACTACCATCAACAAAATGAATAATGAAATAGCTATGGGAAATGAAATGAAATAAAATGGATGGTTGAATGAAAAAAATGAAATGGGTGAAACGAGTGAAATGAAAAACGAATGAAAAATAAATTTCAATTTTACACACTTCTATAATCACGAATAAAAACTGAATAAAAACAGGATTTTTTCCCATGGAAAAAATGAAAAAAAATTCAACAACAATTTCCTGTGCTTTCGTGTGTTCAAGTGAGGATATTTATTTTTTTCTTCTTCAAAATTTGCTTCTGAAAAATGTAGAAAATATTTTTTCTGCGTTTATATATGCATATACAATGTAAACATTGAACCAAAAACTGGAAAAATTTTTTTCCTTCAAATTTCATCGAAAATCCTGTGAATATTGTAATAATGGAAGAAGAGAGAATAGAAAAAATATCAATCATTTTTCATTTGTTTTTGTTTCTTTGTTTCTTCAAACAAATGTATCATCATTAGTCAAATTGTTTTGCTTTGTTTCTTCTTGATATTTTATCATCAACAAACAAACAACAAACAACATTTAACCTATTGTATTTCAGGATGTTATTCCAGATGAAAAAAGCAAAACCTATCCAAGCGTTTCTTACCATTGAAAAATGATAACCTAGAATATAGGATGACAGAATTTTTGTTTTGTTTGCGTGAAAATAAACATCATTCAAAAATAATTATGACTAATGATGATCAAGTCCTGAAGTGAATGATTTATTTATAATTTTTTTTACTAAATTTTTTATAAAAATTTGTAAATTAAATTTAAATAAAATAGTCATTTTATATATAAACATTTAAAATTGGCTTTATTATTACTCACCATAATCATCATCATCATCAAAGTGTTAATTTCATTTTAAAATGAAGAAAAAAAATTTCCACCACTAAATTATCATCATTATTTTTCACAGAGCTTAAGTATATATGTGTGAAACCATAAACAAGCACTTAACACTAACAACAGCAAAGTAACACAACAACACACACTGTAATGTTGGCTTCACTGCATTGCATTTTTGTTTTCATCATCAATTTGATATAGCCCAAAAAATTATATTGGAAACAAAACAACCAATTTAAAATATTAATTTAGCGTTTTTGGAACATCTCAATTTTCTTGTGAAAAATGATTCGATATCATTTCTATTTGGGATCTTTTCTCTTCAGTTTTCTGTTGTTCTTTTTCCCTGTTTTTTGTTGTTCGGTTTCGTTTGTCTTGTTCTTGCTCGCTTTGAAGATCAAAAATAAGCAGAAAATAAAAGCAGAAAATAACAGAAAACTAATGATAATAACATTATTCGATTGATCCAATTATCAGGTTAAATTATCTGTTATAATTCTAATAATAATAATTTTACAAACAACAACAACAACATGATGATTATTATCATCATTATTATCATTATTATATTTTACCCCCTCTTTTAGTTAACAAATAATGATTATAATGATAATGATAATTTTTAACATACGTTTTTTACGTTGTTGCTGGCATCATTAGTATTTTATGTGTTTCTAATAAAAATGAATCCGGTTTTTTGAAAGTCAAGTTGTCAATTGTAATTTCAGAGAAAAGAAAAATTCTTGCCGCTGCTTGTCTGCTGCTTGTTTTATTTACAAATTAAAGTCATATTGCCAGAATTGTTACCAAATTGTTTCTGTTTGTCGATGCCTGGTAATGTTAGCAATGGTCATATTACGATCATGTCAACTATGAAAGACTATGAACTATGACTGTTATCATTTTTGTACTGCTTATTATTTTGTATATAAATGTTGTTTTGTCAGTAAATATAAAACCATCTTTTTCATATCCAAAAGGTAATGATGATTGTCTCTAAATAGCTTGTTAGCTTATTATATAAGTTATGTGTCTGCAGTGTGTTGTTGTTAATACAGTTTTTTTTTTGATTATAAATATAAAAAGCTATAAACGTTTTGGATTTTCTCTCTTTTTTTCTTGTCAGCTAGTTAGTTAGCTAGTTAGTTAGTTGATTGTAAATGTCTACTGCTGCTGAAAAAGCGATGATGATCATGATCGATGTAATGGATTTTCAACCAAAAAAAGAAAACCTATATCAACATTGATGGCAAATAATCATCATCATTATGATTATCGCCAATCATTTAGCATCAGGCAAAATGTTTTTTTATTTGTAACATATGCAATCGAAAATGGAAGAAAAAACTTGAAGGGAAAAAAATCTTGCTTTTCCCGTAAACTTTCTAATGTCTGTGGTATCTCCTCTGCAAAATGTTTACTTTATAGCCCTATATAAAAAAATTGACTTGACTTGTTGACGTCGTTTGTAATGATTTTTTTACTATTTTGTCACTTTTTTTTCTTGATTAATTCTCATTGTCATCAATATGATTCCCCCCCCCAAAAAAAGAAATCCCTCATTTTTCAATGTATTCAAATGAATGATGACAACTTTAGAAAAACTCGATAATAAATTCTTGCTTTTTTCTTGCTTTTCTTTGAATCCGAACAAATTACGATTATTGTGAATATTTTTGTCCTAAAAATAGAAATGCAAAAGCTGTGAATTTCTTCATTGAAAACCGAGTTAATATCTCTTTTGTCTGGTTAAAGAATTTTGCAACGAAAAAAATTGTCATTTTTTTCAATTAAAAAAAAAATCAGCAGAATATAATTTCAATATTGAATTGGGAATCATTTTCCTTCGGGATATATTCCATTTTTCCCCATTATTCTGTTCCGTTCACCATAAATTTGATTTTCCTTCATTCATTTTTTCTCTCACTTTCCGCTTCATCGAAATAAAAAAAAACAATAACCAGAAAAGAAAAGAAAAAATCATTGACCAGAATTGACAGATTGGTTGATTGGTTAGCTTAACAACGAACAAAACAAAACAACAGAAAATAAAAGAGAAAAGTTTTATCATTCAACCAGATCCGGATTCATTCATGCATTCCAATTCCATTTATCCATCCATCATAGGATTATTATTTATTTTCATTTTTTCCATCGTTATTATTATTATTATCTTCAAACCAGAATAACAATTCGGTTATGGAAAAGAAAAGAAGAAAAAAGAAAAACACTGATGAAAATGAAAATTTGCGGCAGCCAATTCATTGGGAAGAGAAATGATTTACCCGAAAATCTAATCGAATCAAATTTCTTCTCCTATTTTTTTCAAATTGTTTTATTCAACTTTTCTTTTTATCCCGTTTGGTTTTTGTTTGTGGATTTTCATCAATATAGNCACAGAGGGGGAGAGAGAGAAAAAATAACAAAATTTATTTGAAATCAATTTTCCCGGAGAAAAAAAAAAATCTATAAATTATTTTTTTTCAATTGAAAACAGATGAAAAGTTTATATTAGAAGTTGTCCATTATCATTATTAATGACAAAAACAACAACAACAACAACAAAAAACAAATAAATAATAATCTTATATAGATGTTGATCTTGGATCTAATAATCTACAGAAGAAATCTCAGATGATGATGACATTTGTATTTGATAAAAAAAAAAGAAATTTCTTTTATTGTGAAAAAAAAATATTATTACAAACGGATATTACAAGAATTTATTTGGATTTTTTTTTTCTTTTGAAAAAAATCACTATAACCTTTTTCTTCTTTCGACAAGAAAAAAAAACAAAACAAAAGAATATTCTTTTCTTTTGTTTTTTCACTTGATAATAATATGATCAAGAATTTCATTCAGTGAAATGATTTACGGATTTTTGGTCGGAAATTATTGTAATTGTAACAATTTTTTTAAAAAACACGCAAGCAAACGTACAAAAGAAAATTATAAATTACTTTAGGAATTTTCGTGTTAAGTTTTTCTGTTGTTTTTCTTTTTGGAAAGGGTGCGAAGAAAAATGGATTCGCAAACGAAAAAAACAAAAAGAAAAAATTCCTTTCCCATTCATTTTAATCGATAATAAGTTAACACTAAGTGTGCATCATCATTTTTCTTCTCTCTTTCCCTATACGAAGGTTGTTGTTGTTTGAAATAACAAAACAAAAAAATCTTCAATTCCAAGTCAAGTTAAGAATCTTTTTTCCGCTGATAAATTCAACCGTTTGTTTTGTCTTTTGTTTTTCTTGGCCCTGTCATTGATAAGAGAATTTCTTCTTCTTCATCGTCGTCTTTGTTGTCTAGATTTTCTTTTTTTCTCACTGCCAATTCACAAACAAGACGATTTCTCATTTCGATATTGATGTATCTGATGTATTAAGACTTTTAGGAAAAAAATACCCAATTCGACATTCAAAGTCAATTGCACTCGAACAAAATTAATTTAAATTCTTTTGTTTCAGCTGAGAAAGAAAAATACACCCAAATAAGTTTAATTCTTTCCTTTTCTTTTTTCTCTTTCTTTCTTTTTATTCATTTTAGCGTTGGGAAAAAAAACAACACCAGCAACAGCGACAATTAGCAAAAAGGAAACAGAAATAACAAAATCTACCATCGATATGAATTATTGAATTTTCGGAAAAATTATCTGTAACAAATTGCCTTTGTTCAATTAATCAATCAAAAGTAAAAAAAATCAGAAAAAATCAAAAATCAAAAATCATTCAATAAGCAACGAAATCAAAGAAATTTCCTGAAAAGCTTAGCTGGAAATTATCATCATCATCAATAATGACGAATGAAACGTCGTCGTCGTCGTCAAGCAGTAGCTAATAAGAAGAAAATATACTTTTATTATTACTACCTAATCTACTAAATTACAAGGATAATCTTAATAATGATGATGGAAATACAATCGGATTAATACAAAAAACCAATATGACCATATCTTCTATTTATAATAGTTTAATTAATGAACCAAATCAAATGATTGATGATGGCAATCATCATCATCATAATTTATTGAATTTATTATCAACGAATCAAACATCAACAACAGCGGCGACTATTTCAACAACAGCAATGATTAACGAATTAAATAATGTTTTAAATAATCAATATGATCGTAATGAATTTTATGGTGAAATATTTCATCGTTTAAATTATGAATATAGAAATATACATGGTTATCTTAGTTTAGTTGTTTGTGTTTTCGGTATTATTGCTAATGTACTTAATATTATTGTATTAACAAGGTTTGTCATTTTCTCGTTTGTAAAACCTCATAATTTTCATTATCAATCGCTTTTCATTTGTTTGATGTTTTAAATTAGAAAAAATATGGAATCACCAACCAATACAATATTAACCGGTATGGCTGTATCCGATCTATTGGTTATAGCATCATTTCTTCCATATGTAATACATAATTATATACGTACTGAAGTGCCCGAAGAACAAATGTATAATTATGGTTGGGCAGTATTTACATTATTTCATGCACATAATACTGTTTTATTTCATACAATTTCAATTTGGTTAACAGTATTATTAGCTGTATGGCGTTTTATTACTGTAAGGTAAATTGAAAAATTTAATTAAACTTTTTTAAAAAAAACTGATAATAAATTTTTTACAAACAAAAAAACAAAATAACTTTATTTATCTGCAAGTTGAATAGTCAATGTGTAACAACAGTAACAAAAACAGCAAAAACAGCAACACAAAAGCAATCGTCAAGTTCAAAACAGAAAAAGATAAAATCCAAATCAAAGTGAATGCCATTCATTTCTGAATATAGATAATTTTGAACGCAAACACTCAAACACAAACACACATTCAGAGATCAAATAAAGCTTAGCTGTCATAATTGTCTTGATGCCTTTTTTTTCATAATTCTGCCTTATAACTATCACTGTCACTGAAACACTTTATCAGGATTTTTTGGTCAAAACAAAAAAGAATGAAAGGAAAAAGACCATCTCTAGACATTGAAAGTCCTTAAAGAAGAATTTACAAAGAAGAAATATGAGAATGAATAATAGAAATAGATAACAGAAGGAAGGAGAAAACGAAACGAAGTAAAATGAAAAAGAATCCAAGTGTCAGTATTAATATTTTTCTTATTATAAGTACAACAACATTCATTACAAGATGATAATACTGATTCTATTTTGTAAATCTTATGTTATTTGTTTTCTTCTACTATTTCTACTTCTTTAGCCAAATGAATATAGATAGATAGATAGAGATAGATAGTTATTTTCATTTAGTTTAGGTTAAGTTAGTTTAGTTAGTTTAGTTAGTTACAAAAAAAACATAAGGGTATATTAATATAATTTTTATTTATTACAAAAAACAAACGTTACAAATCGGAACCGATTTGTAACGTATTCTGACAGCAATAATAATATTTTGCGAAAAAGCAGACAACCAAAACCAAAAGCAAAAACAGTTTGTTTGTTTGTTTGTTTTTGGGTTGTCAAAATTGGTTAGCATCAAAAATTTGTTTCGTTTCTCGATATTTTCATTTGAAAAACACAAACAACATTTGGATAAAATGCGGGCCATACATCCACAAAGACAGATCAACAAACCAAAACAAACAAACAAACAGACCCATATCGAATGCCAGAAAAACCAAACAAAAAATTGAAACATATGGATGCCAATTGAATAATCATTTTTCTCTGTTGTTTTTTCTTTCTTCTAATTGAATAACCGAAAAAACCGAATCAAAACTCGAAAAAAAACCGAAAAAACCCGAAAAACCAAATACAGAACACCATTACGAACAAGATCATTATTGACAATTGGACGTGCCCGTTTATACATATTATTGGTTTATCTGATTGTACCAATATTCTGTATACCAGTATTTATTACATTTACAATACATCCAATACCGGTAATTAATCAACATAAAAATATATCAATTTATACGGTAAGTTGAAACATTTTCTCATTTTTTCTTGGTTTTTCTTGTTTACCTAGAAACATTTTGTTTTGTTGTTGTTTTGTTTTGATTTCCGATTTTGTTTTGCTTGTTTGTCATCAAATATTCTTGCTTTTTGTTCCGAAATTTTTTCCTACGGAAAAACAAATAATCGATACAATCGATTGTTTTTTTATCGGGAATTTTCTTGTATTTTTTTTCTTCTCAATGATGATTATTCCCGGAATTTTTTTTTGCTTCAATTTTGCATGTAACATTTTGTTTTTGGTTTCATTCCCACCACCCACACATAATGTTATTTTTCAAAATGTTTTTTTTTTGTATCTAATTGAGAAGCCGGAAAAAAATATATTTTTTATACCAGACATATTGGCTATTTGAACGAAAAAAAACAAACAGGAATCAAAAGTCAGAAATCTCGAGAAATCAAAAACTACAATCCGTAAAAATGTTTCCATTTTTCATTTGAAATTTTTTTTCGAAGGAAATATTGAAACCGACCAAAACAAACGAAAAAAAAAGATTGATTGAGAAAACATAAACTTTCATATTGGAAACAAATAACCGGAGAAAAATTCAAATCACGTTTGTTCGGAAAGAAAAAAAAATCATTAGGTTTTTTTTTGTTTGTTTGTTGAATTCGATGAAGTGAAACGAAAGTTTTTTTTTCCAAATAAATTCATTTGAAAAATTTGTTAGCCGAACGAAAAAAAATTCAAAACTTCTGGACCGAAGGGGAGAGAAGAATTACAACAACAACAACAGTAAACATCATTTGTTATCAAATTTTTTCCGCTTCAATTTTCATTTTATTATCAAGGGGGGAAGAAGTGAAAATAAATTTTGAAACAAATATTTACATTTTGTAATTTTCTTCCCTCCATTTGTCCCCTTTATCCAATTTTTACACACGTTCGACTATGTGGTTTATTGAATTTTGATTTTTCGATTTTTTCGATCCAAAATTTTTTTCCCTTGTAAATAAATATGACATTTTTTGAATGTCTTACTGCGACAAACAGAAAAAACAGAAGAAAAACAATTCTATTACAATTCAATTGAAGTATGCATCAAGAGGGGGAAAACAGAATCGTCTACAGAATTTGTCTCCATTTTGATGACAGTAGTACTGAAGAAACCGTCATTCAGAAATTTGTTTTCAATGTTTTCAAACATTGGGTTTCTCTTTGTTTCAACATTGGTTTCAACATCGTTGTTTCTGAAACGACTGTTTTGGGACAAATTCCAAATGATGACACACAGAGAAAACGAAAAAAAAACAAAATTCAACATTATAACATCATCATAATAATAACCATAATAATAATTATCATCATCATCATTATTAATCATTCACAGATTTACAAAGTACAATAATAATAATAATATTTTTATTGTCTTTGACTTTTCTCTCTTATTGCTGTTGCTGTTGTTGTTGTTTGAATCACATCAGATTCTGTTGTTTATGTTTTTAACATTGTTATAATTCCATACTGAATGAATGAATGAAAATGTAGAATCTAGCCTGCCATCAGCGAAAAAAAAATCCAGAATTTTCAGCAGAAAAATCCAGAATTTCACTGATTATATATAGCTAAAAGTGAGGATAGAATTTCTATTTGATTCTATTAAAAACAACGATGATAATAATCCATGAATGAACAACAACAACAACAGAAAATTCTACACACATTCATTCATATGATTCTACAACAACAACAACCGAAATTCCTTTTCGTTCCCTCTTTGGTTTTTCAGATACCAGATACTGTCAGATACAAATGATGATGATCATAATGTTGTTGTTGTTGTCGTTGTCTGTACAATTTTTTCGTTTCTGGAATTTTTGTTTTTTACGCCGAAAAAACAAAAAATAAAATTTCACTAGATACAATAATCATATTACCAGGAACAGATTCACTTTCATTATCTCTCTCTCTCTCTCTCTCTCTCTCTCTCTCTGCGTGTGTGTTTGCGCGAAGAAATCAAGGATAACCATTTGTTTTATTAAGGCAATTATCACGGTTGTTTCCATGCATGCATGATGTGAATGTTTCTTGGAAAAAAATCGATTCTTTTGTCGTTTTTCTATGGATATTTTTCTACAAATCCATTTTTGTTTTATCTTCTACAACAAGCGAACAAACAAACAATAACGACCAATATGATGATATGTTTTGCCTTTAAGCAAATTTTATTAACACAATATTACCATTGTTGTCGGTTATTGTATCGAAAATTTTCTGTTGTTGTTGTTGTTGTTGTTTACATTGTAACAATCATCATCATCATGTTGATATTCGTCAATTGATGATGTATTTCATTTCATTTTCATTGTTGTCTATCGTAAATGCATCGAATGATCATTTTTGAATTGCTATTTTGAATTTTTTTTTCAATAACTATGTGTGTTTGTATGCTTAAAAATAGACAAAATACAAAGAAAAGAAAAAGAAAAAACTTTCCGAAACAATTCTTTTTTTTCTGATAAACCGTATCGATTGATTGAAAATTTCTTTTTGAAAAGTTTCTTGTTTTCTTTTTTCTTCTTGATATACGGTTATGTATACATTGTCAACGAGGGAAAAGAAGAAATCATGTTTATTGGGGAAAAAAATTTTTTTACATTTTTTTCTGATTGAATTAACATCATTTTGTCTGTGTGTGTGTGTGTTTTATTGATAATCAATTTCATGGAAAATTCTGCTGCTGCTGCTTTTTGAGGGGAGGGGAAAGCAAACTATAATGACTATAATGAAAATGAATTCAATTTTTTGTTTTCTTTGGAAAATTTTTTTCATCAAAGAAAATTTAACGAAGAAAAACCTGAAGAAAAAATTTCTTTAAAAACAGAATCGATGACAAAAGAATCTTTCCAAAATTCTTTTGTCATCGATTCTTTTGGAGGCAAAAAAGAATAAATGTTTGATTTTGTTGTTGTTGTTGTTGTTACGGATGAAAAAACCTGAAAACTTTTTTTCTGATTTTATCTGGAAAAAAAATTTTTCCAAAAGAAATTTTTCCAAATAAAATCAACCTGTACTTTTTTTTGTGTCATTGATGAAAATGATAATTTCAATTATTTATCAAGTTTTTTTTCTTTTGATCAAAACTTTCATTGCTTATCGATCAATTAATCGCTGGTGGAAAAAAGAAAAGAAAAACTTGTTCAAAGAAAATCGATTATTATTACTACAGATGGGAAACTTGAAAGAAAGAAAACTTTCCAGAAAAAAAAAGTTTGTCATTTTCAACAAAGTTTTAAATATTTACAATTTCAATGTTTTTTGAATGAAAAACATGATGAAAAACATGAAATAAATATTGAGAAAAACATTATCTGATCAATATTTTTATTCTGGCTTTCACTAATAATAATTCTCATTAATCATTTCAATGGAAAAAACTACCAAGAACCGAACTTTTTTTTCAATTTCAAAGTTGTCAAATTTGATGATTAATTTCCATGTTTTTCGGTAATAGTTTTTTACCCGGAATTTTTTTTCAAAAAAAAAAATTCTTCATTATTCCGGTATTCGGAAAAATCATTATTATTTTATTCGGAGAAGCGAATTTTCATTCAATTCACTTCATGCGCTTGTAATTTGTAAAAAATTTTTTTTATACAAATTTCGTTGAAAGTTAACGAAACACATGTTTTCTTTGCTTCAAATGTTAGTCATATGTTTGTTTGTTTGTTTGTTTCTCTCCCTTCTTTCTTTCTAATTGACTGACAAGGTTTTTGATTGTTTTTTCTTAAATTCTTATTGCTTTTGTTTCTCTCATTCAAAATTCGTCATATGATAATTTACATTCCTTCCCTATCATCGCCAATTATTTTGATACAGTTCTTCTTCTTCTCCTTTTATTTGCCTTTAAATTTTTATGATTTTTTTCTACATCCAAAAAACAATCGGGTATTTGTGCGGGTATCATGAGAATTGCATGTTTGTCATCGTTTGCTTGTTTGTTTAGATAATTTGTCGATGAAATGTTTGAACATCAATCATAAATTATCCATTCTTTTGTTGTTGTTGTTGTTGTTGTTGTTGTTTTCACTAGGAATATAAACAAAACAACAACAACAACAACAAAACCTTCTTTTTTTTTCTCTTGAAAGATTCATAAACACACACACATATGCAAAAAAACCATATGTCTATCACTAGTTGTTGTTGATGGAAGATGAACAACAACAACAACGAAAAAATCCTCCCGTATTTACCGAAATTCCGGAAATTATTCTCTTGTTTTTGACATTTTGGTTGTTTTTAACTTGTTTTTTTTTTTGGACATTACAAACAGACCAACAGCTCCCACGCACACAGATAATTTATGCATGCAAATAAAAAACAAACCGAAACGAAACGAAACGAACGAAATAAAAAATCAAACAAAAAAACCTTAATGACAGAAAAACATTTTGATGAACAAGAGAAAGGGGAATTTTGACTTGAAATTGAGTTAGTGAGAAACAAAATTATTCAAATTCTCTTCATTATCATTCTGTACATTCATACATTTTCTGTACATACATATTCTGTACATACACAGTTAATATAAACACAAAAAAAAATTTGAAAAACAACAGTTTTTTTTCACTTGTTTTTCATCGCTTTTTTCCCCTTTTGTTGGTGGCTATTTTTGTCATTTGTAAGGTGGAATCCATTTTTCTCTCTAATTCATTTCCCTTTATGTAATTGGATATTATAATCGATAGATCGATCGATCGATCGATTTGGTGATCTTTTGATTTGATTATTGCACACACACACACACACACACACACACACACACACGAAATCAAAGATTATCTTTCGCACACAATAGATCAAATTATAACAGTAAACTAAGAACTAAGGAAAATTTGTGAGGGACAAGTGGTGGGTCTGACTTTTTCTTCTCTTGATTTATTCAAATACCCAAATACCGTGCAATCAATCCCCCAAACACCCCTCGCACACACACACACCCGATTGCTTTTATCATTTCCATCTATCCTGCCTATACAATGATGAAATCCTGATTATTCATTCATTCATTGTTTGATGCTCATTTTTTTTGTTTTTCACTCAGAAACCATCAACAGATAAAATCAAATTCATCATCATCATATTATTCAACGTAGAAATGGAAAGAAAAAAAAATATAGAAAAACAAAGACATTCTTATTAATGTTGTTTTGTCTTCGTTTTTGTTGCTTTTTGTTTGTTTTTTTCGTTTGTTTGAATTTGAAAAAAAAACGAAATAAATAAGCATATAACAAATGGGAATTGTGAAATGGAAACATGAACTGAAACATAAAATGAAAATGAAACAATCCATTCATTCTATCCATCTAGCTATAGCTATCTAGCTATCGATCTTAATGTTATGTTCATAAAAAAAAATATATATTTTATTTTCCACTGATAGATTGATGTTTTTTGTTTTTGTTTCTCACCCGCATTATCAACATCATCATCATTGGGAAAATATTGTTCGAGCTTTTTTCGCTTTGTTTTATTGCACTCTCTTTTGCACTCTCTTCTCTTTTTGCACTTTAACTTGATACAGTTCAGATATAATTCAGTAACAATCAATTTTTTCTTCGTTTTGTTTGTTTGATACTTTATGAATGAATGGAAAAACATATCATCATATCCATAAAGAATAATGTTGTTGTTGTTGATCGAAAGATGTTGAAATGAAATGATAAAAAATTGTCTGGAGAAACTACAGAAAGTTGTTTTGAATTGGGAGAATTGAAAATTGGCAGGAGAGGAAAATCTCCAGTTTCTCAACTTGAACAACTTAATCACCATAGTTTGTTTTTCATTCATTCATTCATTCATTAAATGGCTTAATATTTAGCTTTATTTTTTTCCAATTATAAAGCTAAATAAAGATTTTCATCAGTATTCTTAATGCTAATCTTATTGTTATTTAGATAAACGATGAAGATAATGATGATGATGAAATTGAAAAATGAAAAGAAGAATGAGATTTCATAATTAACAAACAACGAGAAAAAAAAATTCTATTTAGCCAGATGATGATGATAATGAAGAAATTTTCCAGTTTCAGTTTCAGTTTCGATATTCTAAATGTGCGAAAAAGACATTTATAATAATGTTAGGTTTTCATAAATCGATTTATTACATCATCATTTTCGAGTGGTAATTTTACTGTACGTTTATCACACAAGCAACTATTTAAAACATTTCAATTACATTTCTACCATTTCGAAATAAGAAAAAATTGAATTTTGGAATTGAAAGAATCGCTTCCAGATCTATGGAAATAGAGATAAAAATAGTTTTTTTCACACACACACACCATAATTATCTGTTTTTGCAATGAGCAACAACAAAAAATTCAATCGAAAAAAACGTGTTCAAATTGGATTCTTTACAGTTTCTTTTCAATTCTTGATCATCCGATATTATCTGCGAGAGAGAATAGAGAAAGAGAAAATCTGACGAAAAGAAATGAATTGAATGCAAAAAATATATTAATACCTTTTTCCATGGAAATATTATCAAGTGGAAAAAATGAGAACTTACTTTCTCTATGGAGATTGCTGATTAAAATCATTTTCTATTTCAGAATTGATAAAGTGATGGAATTTTTTTGTGAAATATTTGAATTCAGATGGAAAAACAAATTGATAATAATCCTTGTCGTTTCTTTCCTTTTGTCCAAAAATTAATTGCTTGTTTTGCATGTTTTCAAATGAAATTTTCACTTATTCAGTTTTTCTGTTGAAAATTTTTATTAATAATAATTTTTTTCACTGTCTTTCTTGTAAACCAGGTTGATATTGTAAAATTGGAAGGAAAAAATCATGAACTATTGGAAAAAATAACATTCTGGGTATTTTCAGTATTTATGAAATTAATACCATGTGGTTTATTAACATGTATAACATTAGCATTGATAAGAATATTGATTGAAGCTAAAAAACGTAAAGAACGTTTATTGAAAGGAAATTTTCCCGTTGCATCAAAATCATCTGCATCAATTATCAATCATAATAACGGTAACAACAATCCAACAATATCGATCAATATTCCGAATCAAAATAATCAAATTCGTTCATCACCAACGACAGCAACAGCAGTAGCGACGGCAGAAGCATCAATCAAATCGCAATCAAATCAAAATAACACTGATGATATTCATCAATCTAATAGTGAGAATGATAAAAGTGATAATCAAAAACAACCAAAATTAGCTAAAATAGATCAACTAGCGAAACCAATCAACAGCAAAAGCAATAAAAATCATCATCATCATCATCGTCAACATCGAAAATCAAATGAAAAAGAAACAGAAGAAGTAAAAAGTTTATGGAAAGTTTGCCAAATTTGTCGTAATTGTACAAATTCAATGATAAGAAAATTTACAACAACAACAGCGACAACATCGTCCACAAGATCCTGTTCATCATCATCATCGTCGTCATCGTCGTCGTCGTCATCATCGTCACCAACACCATTATCATCATCATCATCATCATCACCGCCATCAACATCATCGTATGTATCGATACAACCGAATCAATTACAATTGAAAAAACAAGATATTAAGCTCAAATTTCGAAATTCATCATCAACATCGATTCAAAATTCAAATATTCAACAACAGCAACCAATACCGAATCCACCAACATTACATACATCATCATCATCATCATCATCCGGTAATTCTGAACGTACAACCAGAATGTTAATCGCTGTTTTGATAATGTTTTTAGTATGTGAATTTCCTTCCGGTATTTTAGCACTGTTAAGTGGTATACTAGGGAAATCATTTTTCAAAAATGTTTATGGTAATTTTGGTGATCTAATGGATATGTTAGCATTAATAAATTCAGCTGTAAATTTTGTTTTATATTGTTTAATGTCACAACAATTTCGTAAAACATTTTCACAATTATTTTGTATTAGATGGACAGTTGAAATGGAAAATGTTGGTAGACATCATCATCATCATAATAATCATACAAGACATTCATGTATTGGGTCGCCAACAACAACAATGATAATACCACAACAACAACAACAACAATCAAATCGGACATTACAATCGGATTATAATGATCGAATACTACAGCAAAAACAACAACAACAACAACAAAATCCTGAACAAATCGAAAATCAAAATGAATCAATTTCAATGAAAATTGTAAGAAAAAATTCCAATAATAAAAATACGATGATGACAATCGATATAATCGATAATAATAATGATCGATTATCGATGGAAAATAATAATAATAATATGATTAAAATTAATAATAATGATGATGATTGTCAACAACAACAACAACAACAACAACAAATGAAAAAAGCAAATAATTTATTAGTTGTTGCAACAAATATTAATTCAATGAAATTGAAACAAAAAAATGAAATTATTACAACAACGATGGCCAACAACAACAACAATGTTATTAATGATTTAAATGGTAATAATGGTAATAATAATGGTGTTAACATCAAAGGTGGCGCTGGTGTCAGTTCGAATTTATCATCATCATCAACAACAACAACAACATCCGTATAAATCAAAGTTTTATCGATTTTTAGCTTGTTTGTTTTGTTTTGTTTTTAATTTTCTTATAAATAACTATTTTTTAAAAAAGAATATGATTATTGTAATTTCAAAAATGAATAAAGATGTTTTATAAATTATAAAAAAAAAATTATAAAAATTATCATTTTTTTTGCTCTGATTGTTGAACAAGTGGAATTGTTTTCCGGAGGGGGGGAAAAATAGCCAAACGGAAGAGGGAGGAAGGTGGCCGGGGATTTGGAAACATCCACTATAATCATTGGGGGATGGAAAAAAGAAGAAGAAGAAGGGGTGAAACAACCGAAATTCTTGCCAATCGAAATGGCAACAGAATTTCGATTTATAAAGCTGATGATGATTGTTGTTACACTTCTTTTTTTCTGTTTTGTTTTTTGAATTATGCTAAAAATAATGCCTTTCAAAAATGTATTTGCTTTTTGTTTTGTTCCATTTTTTTTCTGTTTTTTCGGAATCTATTTTTGAATCAGGCAAACAGAATTACATTGTTTTGTCTCCTGGTAGTAAAGCGAGAAATAGAGAGATTTTCTGTTTCCCCCCAGCTCTCACAATTGGTTTTCTGGTTGTATGCAAATTTTGAAACCAAAAATGCACTTTTCACAGCTTAATTCATCATATTTGAAACGAAAAAAATGAATTTTTTCTTTTTATTTATTGTTTTGAACACATGTGGTGAGTGAATCATCCAACATTCAAATTCATTCAGTTCTGATTGATGAAAATCAATCAGATTTATGTTGTTTTGGATGGAGGCAATAAATGGGAAGGGGATGTAAAAACATTTATGCAATACCTACTGATGGCTAAGAACATTATTACTTTGAATAAGGAGAAAAAAAAACATTGGAAAAAAGTAACCAAATGAGATTTGAATGAATGAATGAATAAATGATAAAGTTTTGTTTTTTTTTTTGAAAATTTTCTACTTTAAAATTTAAGTGTGACAATTTGTAAAGTGAAAAAAATTTGAAAATTTGAAAATTTAAAATTTTTCTGGTTTCCAATAAAAGAATTTCTTTGAAAAACAAAGTTTCAAGCAAGCTCTTCTTTTCTTTTATTTTGTTTATTTTCATTGGAATTTATAACTACTTCTTCTGGCTATTGAACTTGATGGAGATCAAAAAACAAAGAAAAACTTAAAAACTTAAAAATGTCAGCCAATAATCCCGATTATTGGGCTGGAATCTTTGATTTTAGGTGCACAAATAAAAAAATTTTTTGTAAAAATGATGAATTTGATTCAGTGCAACCAAGTAACAAAGATCAACGATCTTGATCATTATCATCTTTATAATATGAATTGAACGGTTTTTTTTCTGCTGTTGTTAATTCTAAAAAATCAGCTTGATATTTCTGTTGTTGTAAATAATGATTTTCAGGAAAAGCCAAACGAAAACAAATCAAATAAGCCATCAAAGTTTTAGTTATTTCATTGAACTAAAAAAAAATTCAAAATCAATTTCATTGGTGACGTCATCAATCCGATATCAATTTGATTCTTGTTCTTCATTCTGCTCTTTTGTTTTTTTTGCCATTCAGAAAACAACAAAAATTCCCAGGCTTTTTAAGGCTGATGTTATTCTTGTTGAATAAATAAGATGATGTGGGTGATGCATACATCACTCAACATACATCACCTACACATAAAAAACAATCATCACAGGTGATAAACATATCAAAAATTGATGACAAAATGCAACAAAAAAAAGTAAAAGACAACGAAACAAACAGAGGAAGCAAAAAAAACAAAAACAATTTCAGGAAAGAAATAACAATAAAGAAGAAGAAGCAGTTAATAAAATATTAATAGTTAATGGATTCCATTCATTCATTCTATGATGGAATCTTCTTCTTCGTGGAATATTCTTCTAAAGGTGGAATATTCTTTATGAATTCTTCTGTTGTTGTTGTTGATGTTTTGTTGTTTGCTTTTAAGGCTACATTATCAATCAATCAATCAATATTTCAATATTGATGAACTAATCCATTTGGATGTTTTGTTGTTGTTGTTGATGTTTATCCTGCAAAGAAAAATATGTTTCTCTCGAAAAAGAATCAATCAATAGTTTCCACTTGAAATGTGTGTGTTGCATATGTGCATGACATTACTTCAATGAAGACTAAAAAGTGTTAACAACAACAACAACCAAAAAAGAGTTTTCGTTTTTTTTTTGGTCTGATGATTGACATTCCATGTAACTAATTTTCAAATTTTTTTTTGTTTTCAGCTACAACTGAAATATGATGACTCATTCTGACATTATTGATCATCATCATCATCATCATCATAATATCATTATCATTTACATAATAATTATGAGAAAAAAAACATCTCATTAAGGAGAAAGCAACGATAGTGAATTTTTTGTCTGCTGAATATCATTTACATTGTCATAATGATTAATTATTGTTAATTAATAATAATAATTTTTGTCTAGAGAGAGAGAGAGAAGAGATAATTTTGTGATAAAATAGCTGGTTTTTGTTCATTGATACAAATGATTTACAATTGAAATGAATAAAATTCTTATTTCTTTCTTTTTTTATTATCACCATTTAATAATGATAATAAAAGTTTGACATTTGACTTGAGAGAGAGAAAAGGATTGTAAAATTTCAAATTTTCATTTTATTACCGAGTCGGAATAAAAATACCCAGAATCAGCCAAATGGAAGGGGAAAAAAGAAGAAGAAATGCACAGGGTAGACAAAAAGTAACAACAACAACAAAAAAAATATGAATGTCATTACAGTAATTATTCCGACAAAAGTTACTTTGTAATTTTTTATTTGTAGTTTTTTTCCAAGAATAAAACAACAATAACAGAATGAGAATCAACATCTTTCATTTGTCGGCAATAAATCATTGCTTCATATAGAAATATTATGCGGCAGAACAGAATCTAGAATCCAGAATTTTTATTCATTTTCATTTCGAAAGTAATTAAAGCGATTAATTAATCTTTGTTAGATGCTATTTCCGTGAATTTTGTAGCAATTTTCTTCCATTCCAGTTCTTTTTTCTTCCGAGATAATGATGTCAAATCAGAAAATCAGAAAAGTAAGCGAAAAAAATTCTTATGGAAATCAAATGAATGTCATATGGAAACTGAAACTGAAAAAATTCCATTAGGTTTTATCGTTTCTTTCTTAGTTTCTTTTGTTTTTTTTGACTGATGGTTTCTAAATCTTTAGTTTCATCTGTCACCATCATCATCATTATGATGGGCCAAGATAATTTATCATAGAAAATATAATAATGGAAAACAACAAGCAGACAAACAAGCAAACAACAAGCAAAATATAAATCATTTCAAGACACAAAACAAACAGAAAAACGAAAAAAAAGCTTCTTTTGGTAAAAAAGATAATCCAAAAAAGCAACAATGAAAAAAACAAAAGTTTTCGTCTGGACTGTTTTCAAGGCAAAGATTTAGTCAACAACGAAAACAGAAAACTTGCAAATCATCAACCAGAATAAAATGAATATGAAACATCATTAACGTGTTTTGTTGTTGTTTGTTTGTCGCTTGTTTAAAATTATTTCAATCAAAATTTAAATTGAATTTTTTCATTTCAATTTTTCAATTTCCCTTTGTTTTTGGTTTTTGGAAACAACCAGAAAAAAACATCTGCTTTGGATGATTTTCTTCCGGTTGTTTTTCTTTCGGATGACGTGAATAAGAAACATAATCTGAAAAGATCTGGAGTTTTTTTCGGTAATAATTTCCCGCATTTCCCGAAATATTTCTCTCTATTTTCAATCTTTTGGTCATGGCCAAGTTTTTGGGTTTTTCTTTTCTTTACCAGACTTGTTGCTGGTTGTTTATTGTCGACATGTATATATATCATCTCAGGAAAAAAAACTCAGCCATCAAAAACTCTTGACTCTCAAGTTTGAAAATTCAGAAGAAAACGAACCCTTTCAACATCAGCAACAAACTTGAAAGCCAAAATTTTTAAAAAACAAAATTTTTGAAGAAAAATAAACAAAAAAAATCTAACAAGATGTTTTTTGATCTGTTCTTGATGATTATCAAATCATCACTCAATTCAATTTTGAAATTCAAAGAAAAAACAAACAAACAATTTTCTTCAACTTTCCACTGTTTTCGTTGTTCAAGAGTTGATTGTTGGTTGATAATTGAAATTCAAGTGAAACGAAGAGAAAATGAGAAAATTGAAAGTTTTCGGCTGTTGTTTGATTTGTTCAATATTTTTTTTCGAAACTTGATTCAAAAGAATGTGAAAAATTCTTATAAAGAAAAGGAAGAGAAAAGAAAAGTCGAGGATTTTTTGATTTGATTTTTTCGATACAAATTTGTCTGGCTGGTTGTATTTGCTTTTTTTTTGCTCATCCATGGTATGTCCGTGTAAATTAAATTAAATGTCATTCTTCTTTACAAGTCAAGTTTTCAAGAAAAGAATTTGAAATTGAAAATGGAGAGAGAGAGAGAGAAATTTGATTTATTTCGTAGAAATCTTGTTATTTTTTCTCTTGCAAATTGATCAGTTTTTATGTCAATAACAACAAGAAGAATTGGCAGAAAAATTGAAATTGAAAAAAAAACAAAATTCCAAAGTTTTAAAAAAATTTAAAGGTTTTTCTCTCTCTCTCT